ACACAGAAAACAGCCCCCACAACTACTGCCACCTTCGCAACCCCTGGAACAGTGCCCTAAAATATTCCCAGTAAGATACTCCACGTTTTGCCATTTCTAAATCTGCACCCATTTCTCCAACACCAGCTGCAAGATCCGAATACCGTCCATCATTCTTGATCAGAATTATTTTCCCTCGGCATGTAAGGAAGTTGTAAGATTCGCGACTCCAGAGAAAGTTAATTTTGTGGCAACATAAAAATTGTAGCGCTGAGGGAAAAAAAAAGTAGTTATTCTAATGGAAAACTAAAAGTTCAGCCACCGCTTAGATGTTTAACTAAGACACAAAGAATTAATTTCGCAATAAAACATGTTCTTAATTGGGATGTAGTTAATGAAACAAGAGGAGCATGCCATTACCCGTAACATCTCGTTGTCCTCCAACATGTTGGTACCTACGGTTGCGTGTTGGCTGTAGGTTTCCAAATAGGAATTTTAAAGGGATGTCAAAGCTCTGCACTAATTGTTTGATTTGCTTCTGTTCTGAAGCTATATTACATTGTGCTTTACCGAATATTCATCTAATGCTTTTTGGGGGGAAAATTAAGGTTGATTATCTCAACCCCAAATGGCTGGCATTAGGGCAGCTAGTATTAACTGCCAATACTACCTGTACCTACAGCAAAACAGTTTTTAATGTGTCATACTGACATCAACAACAATTGTTCCCTGTTGAGTAATGCATGCTTAGGTCAAGTGTTTCAAAAGGAAAAAAAAAAAGCATACAGAACTGACAAAGCAAGCTTCAGAGTACAAAATACGCGTGGGCTTGCTGTTCAGACCCATTTGATGCAGAAGTCAATAGGCACAACGAGCCAGAGTGCCCATATTCCCCGTACATAATTGTGCAACAAAAACTGCAAAGCAGTTTTTTTTTCTCCAGTATTTGTTTTCGAAATAGCTTGGTATAGTATGCAGTCAAAGCGTTATTTTTAGATTTAACATTACTAGAGAATGAAGGAAGTAAAGTACAATCTGGCAGCGATGGCCATACAAAAATATCCAAACTTCTTTCAGGGAGTTGTATATACAGGGGAAAAAAAGAATCAGAAAAACAGTTCAGCATCACATGCCTTCTTTGTGTTGAACACAATGCAGAACCACAAGAATATTGTTGTCCCTGCTGGAGCAAAGGTTAAGTCAGAAAGGAACCTTCTTGGAAGACCATCTGAATCTGAAAAATGAAGTGTTTAGTCAAGGAACTAATTAAACAAAAACCTAAAGAAGTATTTTTTCAGATACAAAGAAAACAAACAACCAAACAAAAACTTGCAAACATGTGTTTTCCATCCCTCCTTTTCCACCAGAAGTTTCAGAAGGAATAAATGGGTGGCTATCACAGTCACAAAAGGCGAGCAGAGGGAAGAAAGCTCACAAATTTCATCAGCAATATTTGCTGTATTTTACGTGCATTGTTGGCTAAATAACACCTTAAATGCAAGTGAATGACAACCAGAAGAACAGGCAAGGGCTTCTGCCTTTTTTTTGAAGGTGAAAAAAGGGAAAGCAAAGCCACCACCTTCACTGAACTGGCCTATTTCCTATGCATCTCGTTTATTGATATGAAAACTTCTTGGCTGTTCCAGTCCTGTGCTACCTCATTTGCAAAGCTGCATTGTGCCGACCTTAAATACATCCTCCGCAGGAGGGGACGTATTTCCAGAGCCAAGAGGGAAAGGGGAGCTGAGGCTCCTGCCCACCGCTGTCCCACTGGCCCCAGGGATGCAGCACAGGGAGCAGAGGAGCTCCTTCAGCACGGCAAGAGAGGAGGAGGCTGAAACACCCACAGCTCGCCCCCTAAATTCACAGCAGGGAAAAAGAAAGGGACACACAAAGACCTGGAGCAGCAGGACCACAAGAGGGGCTCACATACCATGAGAACCCACCCTGATGCTGGCTGGAAGGCAGACGCAGCCCTGTGAGCCTCCCAAACTCCCAGCTGCACGCAGCACCCACCGGCAGCGCCTGTCCTGTGCCACAGGGATCCCGGCTGCGCAGCGCCCGGCTGCCTCCTGCCACACACACATGAGCTCTGCTGTCACTTACATGCAGGTTTCTTGCTTAAATCAAGCATTTTGTTTAGTTTCAAAGCTACAGCTATCAAAACAGGCCCTGTGCGCTTCATGAACAAGCTCTAATCTGATCTGTTCACTTAGATTTAGATTTGCCGTGCCTTTATCCCGTCATTTAGCTTGATTCAATCAGAAAATTAAAAAAACAAACAAACAAACAAACAAAAACCCTCACACAAGCCAAAAGCTGCTAAACTTAAAATTAAATGTCCTTTCTAAGGAGGGAAAGTATTTTGCCTATAAGTTGAGCCATCCTCTGGAAAGCACTCTGCCACATTTATAAGTTAAAGTGCAGAAGAGAAGGAATTAAACTTTAAAGACAAATCCAACCATCATGACAGAAGCTCAGCTGCCACCTCTGCAGTGACGGACACGTGGCTCTAACCCCAGCTGGGCCATGGCAGATCTCTAACTGGGATGTTCTGCTCTAAACCACGCCAACATTGGAGTGTACCAGTCTGCCCATCGAGGCATTTCCAGCACCTTTTGGTATCACAAGAGCACATCTGCACGCACCCTTCACCTGCTGAGCACAGTCTACTACTAATTAGGGAGGACGGGGTTTGCTGGGATCCCTGGTCACTGCGGCTGCTAATTGATTCCAAGCTCCGAGCTGCCAGCGTTCATTCCCAAGCAGTTGGGCATTTTTCCTCCCGGTCTCTGATCTAATTCCTCTACCCGCTGTGCCACCCTCTTCCCTCTCCCCTGCCTTGGGTGGTACATGGCACTGAGACACGCTGCTGGAGGCTTGAGAAAGATGGGAATGGATTAAATACCATAAACTAGGGGACAGGGAGCAGGGTATGTGCGGGGCAGAACTGACAGCGCAATTCAGGAATGTCCTCGTTATCCTACAGGAGATTATAAAGGTGCACAGCAACTGCTGCTGCATTTCAGTCTGGTTTTGACCCAATCTATGTTCTCCTGAAGTTCAACCCACTTGCGTCAGCTCCCAGCATCAGGCCTGCTGCACCTCTCACCTCCCAAAAAATACCACAGCTCATATGGAAGAGGACAAGGGGTTACTCTGAGGCTGTAACCTCAAATTTATACCCTCACAATACAACATCATCATCATCCTTAGAAGCTTTGCAGGATGATAGAAGGGAGGTAAGGGAGAGCTAGACCTCCTGCAGATGAAACAAAATTTCAAGTCAACCATTATAAACCAAAATTTCAGATGCTTTTTAAAATAAATTCCAGGTGCTACTTTACATACAGTCAGTCTAAAGACGAATGGTCCCACCACTTCCTTAAAGTTCCAGCAAATAAAGAAGGGGTGGAAAAATGCACAGGCAATCAGTGCCCAGCACACGGCATGCTTGAGGCGAACAAAACACACCCTCAGGCCAGGAGAAGTCAGCTGCTCAGGAACTGTCTGCACAGTACACGTGTCCGTAACCACTCCTCATGCCACAGCTTACCTATCACGGCAATAAAAACAATGAAGGCAAGATGAATTCACTTCGGCCAGAAGTGGAACTGGTGCTGTGCAACCTGCCTGTTGGTTGTGCTGAGCCGAACTGGGCAGGAAACATCCAGGCTCCGTTTCCATCTCCATGCTCATGGTAAGTTACAATTTATTTGACACACGTTCAGCCTTTGTGGCATTACTTGCAGAGTTAAGGTGCCATCAATTTCAGGCCAAAACTAAAGCACAGAGGACAAAAACGTCCCCCATTATAATTGCACCTGTAATTACTTTATAAGCCTCCGATCCAGCAAATCACCCTGGGGACTCGTACTAATTATTATCCCGTATCTTTCAACACCAGGTAGAAACTTTCGATGAGGAAAAGACTGTCCCGACCCCCAAAAACGTGCAGTCCAGCTAGATGGGGCAGGGAAGAGCAGGGAAGCGCGGCTCTGGAGGCACCGCTCTCCTCTCCGCTGTGTTTCTGCCTTACCAGACAATAAGACCAAACATCAGCTCTTTATCCCTTAATCCCAACTACAAACGTGTGTAAGGTTGTGTTATTTTTTATTATGATTATTTTTTTTTAACTCATCTAGGCAGTATTTGAATGAATTACTGGAAGTGTTTTCATATTAAGAATCTAATCCAATTCCTCACAGGGCTGAGTGTCAATGAAACTGTCCTAATCCCATTCTTCTGCACATCAAGCATCATTAAGACCGTCCCATGCTAATCTTTATGCGGAACACTGATCAATATTTTTGAAGTCTTAAATTTATCCCCGTGTTTATCTGGCACCGGCCTTCCCTCTGTTCGTCAAAACTTGATATTATTCGCTCTGGCCTTTTCTTCGGGAGAATTTGCTTTCGGAAAGCTTGACGGGCATTACTTCCTCGTGTTAAATCTCAATCTCCAAACTGAAATCTTGGCTCAGGCAGCAAAAACCTCCCCGTTATTCCCTTGTCTTGGACCGTTTTGGGGTTCGCTCACACCAACCCCAGCCCCGCTCCCCTCAGCCCCTCCGCAGGACACGAAAACCCCAGGAGATGAATTATTTCGGAAAACTTCTCCCCACGGCCACCGCACCGCTGGAACCGGGCACTGGCGGCAGCGGCACCGCGACGCCCCCTCAGCGTTTTGGGGTCTCGCTGAGGTACCGGGGGGGCATCAATCGCCCCCCCCCAGTCCCGCGCTGCTCAGACCCCCCTCAGGGGGCGGCTCCAGGTCCGGACACGACCCCCGGACCCTCACCGGGACCCCCTCAGCCCTCGGGGGGCGTCGAGCAGCCGAGGGGCCGAGCGCTGCCGCTCTCCCCCCCCCTCAGGAGCCCGTCCCGACCGCCCCCCGCCGCCGGAGGCGCCATTTCCCTCAGCCCCTCATCCTCAGCCCGCCCCCCGCAGCCCTCCCCGAGCCCCCTCAGCCCCGCCGCAAGATGGCGGCGCCGCCTCCCCCAGCCCCCAGCCGCCACTCACCGGCGGCCCGGCGCGGCCCGGCCCGGCCCGGCCCGGCCTCCCCCGGCCCTCCCCGCGTTTCTCTTTGCGCCTCAACTCCGGCAACAAGCGGCTCCCGCGGCCCGCTGCGCGCATGCGCCCAAACACCCGGCCCCGGCCACAGCCCCGGCCCCGGGCACGGCTCCGCTCAGGGCAGGGAGGGGCCGGGGCGGCGGCGGGGGCGGGACGGGGTTGAGGGGACCGGGGATACTGGGGGCACTGGGGATACTGGGGACGCTCGGGGCACTGGGAGGACAGGGTGCGCTGTGAGATATGAGGAGGACTTGAGGGACTGGGAGCACTGAGGCACTGAGGGACGCTTTGGAGCGCTGATACTGGGGGCAGTGGGGACACTGGGAGCACTGGGAGATACGAGGAGCACTGGGGGGACTGGCGGGCACTGGGAGCAATGGGGACACTAGGAGCACGGGGGGGACTGGGGGACAGTGGGAGAGACTGAGGGCACGGCACTGGGAGGACTGGGGGATGCTGGGAGATACTGGGGGCACTGGGGACACTAGGGCACTGGGAGGGACACTGGGAGATACCAGGAGCACTGGGGACACTAGGGGCACTGGGAGCACTGTGGGACACTGGGAGCAATCGGGACACTAGGGGCATTGGAGGACACTGGGGCACTGAGAGCACTGAGGAAATCTCAGGACTAGGAGCACAGAGGAAATTGGGGACACTGGGAACACAGCACTGGAGGACAGTAGGGGCACTTGGGACATGAGGCACTAGGGGCACTGGGGACACTGGAGGATACTAGGGGCACAGGGGGTTATAGAGGTGCTGAGAGCACTCTGCACACTGGGGACATAGGGAGCACTGGGGACCTGGGACAACTGGGGGTTAGCAGGGTGCTGGGGATACTGGGACAGGGGGACACTGCGGTACTGGTCACACTGGGGACTCTGGGGCCTGTCACAGAACTGAACAGCTCCAGCTCACTGAGGGTTTTGCAGCACATGGCCGCCTGAAATGGCAGCGGGGAAGCGGAGACCTCCACATCCAGCCAGCGGTGGCCGAGGCACTGCCCTCTGTCACTGGTTCCCCCATCAGTTATTAATAGAAACTACTTCACCCTCCTGTCTCATTTTTCTTTTCATCTGGGAACGTTGGTTTTGTTTGTATTTGAATTTTGAACCAATAAAAGAAGCGGTGGTATTTTTTTAATGGTACCTTTTTTTTTCTTTTTTCCTCTAGTAAGACAGGAAAAAGTATGAGCAGGCCCCAAGCTGTGACAACTTAAAGGCAATGGGATCTCAGGAAAATAATAAATGAGACTTGCAATGGCTCGTTTGAAACACACATCGTAATATTCCTCATCCCTAGAGTGAGGCACATAAAACAGCTGTCTTTAAAATTAACTCAGAGAACAAATATTTCTCCCCTCATCTGCATCAGCAAGTTACATCTAAAACATGGGGCCCTGCAGGCTCCGGGCACTCGGTGATGCTGAGAGCCCCATTTTAGAGCTCCTTGCCCTTTTCGCACTGGTTTCACGCCCTGTTGATGTGTACTTTCCATCCTTGGAGCTCTCCTACATTTTGCATTTCCCCTGTAGGATCCATCTCCCCCCACTAATCCAGATTTTGGGGCTTTTTCTCAGAGTATCAGTGCAGGTATCGCCATCCTACAGCTGGCACCTCCCATTTTTTGCATTGCTTTTCATTCTTCGAAGTGAAATGTTGGGATACTCTGCTGAACTTGGGATGTTCTGCTGGTTCTTCCTCTCCAGCGATGTGTGCACCATCAATATTATTATTTTTGTTGCTATTTCCGTTGTTGCATTACTTGTGATTGCACCAGGCTGCCGCGCAGCGCTGGGCTAGCTGCAGCCTGGAAATTGCAAAGTGCACTTTGCCAAAGCTTTTGATGCAAGAATTACTCTCCCATTCAAAATTAGCAGGGAAGACTCACTCAGTGATGTTCAGAACCAAACATCAAATTCACCCCTGCGACAGAACCAAATGTTAAATTCACTGCGGGCACCCAAAACGAGCAGCAACATGGCTTGTCTCACCTCAGCAGTGCTCTGCGGCATTGTCCAAGCCATAGGCATAAGACAAAAAGAAAAAAAGCCTTTTATTTTCAGCTCTGTTGTTTTGCCTTTTTAAAATGCTGCACTCACATTACAGGAGGTTTAGTGGGCTCATGTACTCCCAGGGCAAATTTTGGGTGATGCCCAAAGCCAGCACCTTGAAACACACTCCCTGAGCACCTCCACTGGCTCCTTGAGCTGTCTGGCACTTGCCACAATTCGATAGGACCCCTCAGGCCCCTCCAGAGCACGAGACAGCCCCAAACAAGCATTTTGCTGGTCCTGCTGCCAGTGCTGGGACTCTTCTCTGGGAAGGCACTGGGGTATTCGATACCCAAGGAAGAGCCACAGCCGAGAACCAGGGCAGCAACCTTATTGTGCAACTTTCTGATGGTTGAAGCTGATGAAATCTCCTCCTTGCTGCACTTCTGCCTCCGTTCCTTCCCCCATGTCCCTTCTGGGCTGCCACCAGACCCGCAGCACAAGCAGCAGCCACACCACATGCCCATAGCTCCCAGGCTTGTTTGGCACTTTGTGGGCACAGCCCGGGTTGTGGCAAGCTGCAGGCAGCCCGAGGAGGACCCAAGAGGCTGAGAGCAGCTTGCCCTGGTGATGGGGATGCTGCTGCTGCTGCCAGGGTTGCTCGGTTCCTTCCCTCCCAGCTGGATGCATTTAGGGGTGAGCCAAAGCACAGAACCAGGCAGATCCCCAGAGTAGCAAGTGCTTAAACACATGCTTGGTGTCAAGCAGAAGGAGAGCCCCAGTCAGTCGCTGGGATTACCTGTGTCTAAAAGGAAGCCTTAGAGCAAGGTTTGTTAAGGCAGCAGGAGCCCGAGTGGCAGTTCAGTACCTCTGGGCTCTGTCCAAGACCTGTCTCCAGCTGTGCTTCCAGCAGGTGCCCCAGGTGCATCTTCAGATGCTCAGGTGAGTTTGCCACAGAGCTCAGGCTGCCCACCTCTCAAACACCTTTTTTGATTAAATGCCGCATCTTCTACCCCTTGCTAATTTGCTGGCAACAATCAATCATCTGCTTTGAAAATGGCAGGATCAAAAGCAGGGAACTCAGAACGAATTACATCCAAGAACTGCACAAATTCCTTACTGCTTGTACAGAAACTTCCCTGCAGGGCAGGCGCCAGCTCCTTCTGCATGGCCCAAGGTGCTTGTTTGTGCAGCCTCAGAGGAGTTTTTGTCTTTCTTGGTGCAGAGAACATCTCTTACCGGGCACAACAAGAGTTGACATCTTGGATAAAGGTTTTCCACGTTCCTCCATCTTCAAACACTCATCCTTGGGTATTTGGGGGAAAAGACTTCTCCCAAAGTGCCAACAAGCAGCCCCCTAAAAACAAGCACACTTCCCTGGGAGCAGCCTTGGCTGCTAGACAGCAAAATCCAGAGGCACTTCTTAAAATGTTTGCCTAGACAATCATTTGCAGATTTGGTTAAAGATAATTTTTAAGCTAATTATCCCCTATTAGCAATCATCTTGCCTCGTTTGGTTTGTTTTAAACAGCAGAAGGAATTGCAAATATTGTGAGTGCCTAAGACGTTAAAGCACTAAATACGTAACTGAAAGTCTCAGATTCCTGAAGAAATTAAATATCATTTCCACAGAGCTTTCTCACGCTGCTGTAATACGACATTTGATAAAGCCTGAGCCACTCACCAAGCCCTGACCCCTCTTAAACTCTACAGAAATATTTTGTGTTGAAAGCTACTCTTGTGATCTATCACCCTTTCATCTTTTTAATACGGCAGTACAAGTTTCAAATGATCAAATTAGACAAAATTACTTGCTCCTATGAAGTTAACAACTAGCTGCAAAACAACTGCTGTCAGAAGTAAGGTTAGCAGTTTGAAATTAGCGACCAAGAAGTTTTCGATAAAGCCGTAGCTAACCTTGCTTGCAGATTAAGGAAGAACTAAAACTGTGCTTTGCCTGTTGTTTTTGGGGGCACTGCTGGCTCTAGAAGGCAGAGCAGGGTGCTGGGGATGTCAGTTCTTCATTCAAAGCCAACACAGGAGCTTGTAGAAAGTTGTTTTAGTAATTTGCTAATGGTACAGCCATAAAACTGCGATATTATTCAGGACCACTTACAGTACTCATACTAGAAGCTGCCTTCCTTTCTCCCCAAGTCTTGAAGGATGCTGGGGACACACCAGGAGAGCAGCACACCCATCACATCCTCACAGCTTTCAAGTCCAGAGCTCCTTAGAAGGCTTTCCTGCACATTTTTCTTTTTGTAGAGGTTTCCCCCACAGCAGAGGTGCTTTGTTAGGAAGAAAAACTCCTGGAAAATATGTTGAGAAGAAACGAGCTGAGGCTCTAGCCTCAACTCCAAATGGCCCTGTGTGTAACTAGAGAAGATGGATTCACAGCTGCGCAGTGCCCAGAACAAAGGCTTGTTGGTGCTATCTGTGCTCATCCCACCTGGCTCACACTAACACCTCCTCATTTATAAAGTCACGGTTTGTGACTGAAATCCCAAACTCGCAATCAGGGATCGTGAAATCAAAGAACCACCAGAAGTAAACAGCTGGAGCAGCTTTGTGTCCTCCCGCTGAGTGCGCCAGACTGGAAAAACAACTCTAAAAGCATCCTGCTTCTTCCCCCTTCATTTCTCAGAGGTGCCGTAAGAAAGGCCAACTGTACAAAAGAGGAAACAATTGAACTGATGTTTGACAAAATAAAGCAAGAAGCAGAAAAGCACGTCCTTGATGCCAGCCAGGCTTACCTCCAGCGTCAGCTGTATAAAGAGTGAAATGTTTTGGGACAAACAATGATTTGAGTTGACTCGAGTCTAGCAAGTTAAGTGGTTGAAAAATTTTCTTCCTTGTGTTATGGAAGCTGAAGCACACTTCATTTTGTTTATACAGACAATGGAAAACAGGCTTGTCACCTTCATAATTGTTTCTGGTTCATTTTCATGTATTCTTCTTATTGCAACGTTACAGCTCTAAACAACGCAGCAAGTGTTGCTGGAGAAACAAGTTATTTTAACTGGATTGCATTCAAGTGCCATGACTACACATGATATTAAGTGGCTTTCTAAGAGAAGAACCCGTTCTTTAAGTAACTGTTCTGCAAATTCAAGCTT